AAGAACTTCCAGATGACTGGGAAACTACAGCAGAAGTGATCAGGGAGACAGGTAGGAAGGTGCTAGGTGTGTCATCTGGAAGGAGGAAAGAAGATAAGGAAACATGGTGGTGGAATGAGGAAGTACAGGACAGCATTCAGAGGAAGAGGATAGCTAAAAAGAAGTGGGACGTAGAAAGGACTGAAGACAGTAGACAGGATTATAAGTAATCGCAGCATAGAGTGAAGAGGGAGGTGGCAATGGCCAAACAGAAAGCATATGATGAGTTGTATGCCAGGTTAGACACGAGGGAAGGTGAGAAGGACTTGTACAGATTAGTGAGACAGAAAGATAGAGATGGGAAGGATGTGCAACAGATAAGGGTGATTAAAGACAGAGATGGAAAGGTGCTAACAAGTGAGGAAAGTGTGCAGAGAAGATGGAATGAGTATTTTGAGAAACGTTCTACTTCTTACTGGTCCTACTCACTTGGACCGCTTGTTAAGTTTAACCTGACCTTCATTCTAGCGCTGCAATGCTGGAAACCCTCACACTAACTGGGACTTCATGCTGACACAACTGGGGACACGTCTTTCTTCAGAACAGAGAATTAGGTATTCTTATTATAAAGTTGTTTTGTTTTTATGGTATTAGCTACAAGTTTCATTCTTCAGTACTTTTTCATTGTAAAAATGTTTTTAGTTTTAATTGTGTTTATCTATTCATACTGTATTAATTCAATAGATTCAACACTTATTGATCTGTACTGTCTTTGATAGGACAACTATAATAATATTTACATTAATTTTATTCTTCAGGTGCTATGTCACCCCTCCACTTTATAGTGGAGCTTTCCAAAATGTGTCTTTTTGAAGTGATACTGGACTAAAAAAAGGTTTCCTACCTTCCAGCAGTGCTCAAGGTATACAATTACTGTTCAAATTTCTAACATATTTTGTTTCATAGTCCAGTTTATAACACATTCTTTTTGTTTTCTCTTGTCAGAATTACCTCCATTATACTATCTCCACATCTGCTATGGTGATGGACAGGTTGACAGATGAGGTCAGACAGGAATCTCCATTGACAATGATGTTTGCAGATGACATTGTGATCTGTAGTGAGAGCAGAGAGCAGGTGGAGGAACACCTGGAAAGGTGGAGGTCAGCTTTGGAAAGAAGAGGGATGAAAATCAGTCGTAGTAAGACAGAATACATGTGTATGAATGAGAGGGAGGGAAGTGGAACAGTGAGGTTACAGGGGGCTGAGGTCAAGAAGGTGCAGGAGTTTAAGTATTTGGGGTCAACAGTCCAGTGTGATGGGGAGTGTAGGAAAGAGGTGAAGAGGCGAGTGCAGGCAGGTTGGAGTGGGTGGAGAAAGGTGTCAGGAGTGTTGTGTGACAGAAGAGTGGCAGCAAGAATCAAAGGAAAGGTGTACAAGACAGTAGTGAGACCAGCTATGCTGTATGGGTTAGAGACTGTAGCAGTGAGGAAAAGACAAGAGGCAGAGATGGAGGTAGCAGAGATGAGGATGTTGAGGTTCTCTTTAGGAGTGACCAGGATGGACAGGATTAGGAATGAGCACATCAGAGGGACAGCTCAGGTCAGCTGTTTTGGGGACAAGGTCAGAGAGGCCAGATTGAGATGGTTTGGACATGTACAGAGGAGGGATAGTGGTTATATTGGTAGAAGGATGTTGGAGATGGAGCTGCCAGGCAAGAGGTCAAGAGGAAGGCCAACGAGGAGATATATTGTTGCTTTTGCAACAACTGTCACCTACTTGTGTTGAATAAAGCCTAATACTTTGAATCTATCTTTAAGTAAGGAAGACCTTGTTATAGGACCAGTGGGTAAAGGGATGTTTTGTTTCCCTCTTGGTTAATCACCTGGTTAATAACCAAATGCCCTGACTTTTGAATCAGGCAGTACACAGCATTAAAATTCAAAAGCAAGGGCATAGTTTGGCATTTAGTAAGCTGAATGACTGTTACAATGTCCATGAGTGGCACTTCTTGCTTTTGTTTTTGCCCTCTGTTTTTATGATATGAGCATCCCCCACTGGTTTCCAAATGTGGGGAGTTTGGCTGAACGAGTCTCCAAATGGTGTGAGTGGATGGTATCCTTACTACAAATGACAGCACAGAAACACACACTGTCTAATCCTTTACACATGTAATGAGTGTGCCCCTGCTATGTTCCCGTAAGAAGACACAGCCAGAGTGCACACATGAACACACACAAATGTTAATACACATTCATTCCCACATAAGCACAACTACAGACACAGGGGAGGTATAAACCATGACATTTATACGATTCCAATGTCATTAACAGATTACACACACAAGCATTATAAAACATGACTCACAGAGAGCTTCTCTTTGTATTTGGACTCCCTACATGCTAGAACTGGAAGCACGACTACGCTAAGGCGGAGGTACAGCCACACATGGACACATCCACACATATTAAGTATTTAGAGGAGAGGTGTTTGAGCCGAGTATTTTCCTGGCCTCTCTCAATGTAGCTCTCAATGTGAGTCACAGATCTCAGTAAAGCCTCCAATAAAAAGCCAAAATGAGCAGAGCAGACCTGGAGTTAATTAATTAGTCACAAAGGATGGTTATATGAACTATTATTTCTGTGTAGTGCCTAGCTGCAGCAAAAACTAAATGCATATGTTTTAAACATACTCTCTTCCCTTCTTACCCAGCCAGCTCTTTACTCATCTTTGACAATCTCCATATAAAAGGCTTTCAATAAGGGTGCAATCATTTGATGTTACTGAATATGTTCTATATCTGCCTCTAATGGAAAAAATGTACACAGATCTGGGAGCAGGACATTGAAAATAAAGCTCTTGACTGTGCATGATTCCAACTCAGTAAAAGGTGGATAGCCATGTCCAGAAAAGGTACAAATACATATGAATACATATGTTTTTGTGTTCATCTTCAGTCTAATTCAATTGTATTTAACCAAACTAAGCAATAAGAAAGCAACCCAAAGCAATCAACTGTATATGTAGAAAAGTGCTTACCCTGTGATGCGTGGCAATGTGTCAGTGGAGAAGAGGGCAAGTGGTGGTTTATCACGCTCTATGAGCCATATGGTGTATTGCCCACTTTGCTTGGGGTGAAAAAACACTGCCATGTCCAGGCTACAAGGACCTTGCCCCCCCCACAGCCAAGGACTCAGCACCCATGGGCCCCCAAAAGCTGAAGTATTCACCCAGAAGAACTGACCTGTAGAAGAGAGAAAGCCAAAGGGCATGTAGAACACCAAACAGTAGCATAAACAAAATGTACTAGTAAGAAACAGAAGAGACTAGGTCAGGGACTTGCAAAATTTTACAAAACAGGGATTAGTAGTAAGAAAGTTTGAAAAGTACCACAGATGATAATCTCATGAACATGACTGATGGACGATGGTTTCAAATAGAAAATCACTGAGAGTGGCACGATGATAATGAATTAAATACAGCTGCTTTGAAAAAGAGCAGTTTGTGCCATCCCTTGAACAAAAAAGGGGGCAGCAGGTGAAAAATCAAAGTACAGTTTTTTTCTAGCTTTGATATGAATTCCTTTTTTACTGTCAATCCTAATGCACTCATTCAAGCAGGAACTATATCAGAGGCTGAAAGTTAACATGTGCAAGTGCATTTATGTATGTGTGTGTTCGTGCGTGCATGGTAGGAAAAGTCCTGCAGAATAATTGATTTTTGATTATTCTCAGGGAGCACTTAACATAAGTTTGCCCTAATGTTTATTTTCTTTGGCAGGAGGGCCATGAGGTCCACTACAGTTACAGTTGTATAAAAAAAATAAAATAAAAAAAAACAGTAAATATTTCATAATAGAGGGTCAATGTATTTATTTTCTTTTATAACTTGTTTCCATTTCCAGGGGCTGCACCCTAAATCACGCAACGTCCTGAGGGTCAGATTTTATTAAAGTGCACTTCTCTAACTGGGACAAACAAGTCAGCTGTTGCACTCAACAGTCTTTTGCCATTCACTGTCCAAGCAATTTGTATGCTGGAAATTATCAGACAGTGGAGTAATGGGGAAATAAGGCTCCTGATTGTGAGCATGATGAGACTGTAATTGACTATCACTTCTTCAGTCTTGAATAACACTGATCAACATTAATATACATGTATTTTGTTCCATTATATACACTGTACAAAATTAATTCAGAATCAGAATCGGCTTTATTGGACAGGTGTGACGGACACACGAGGAATTTGACTCGGGTACATCGGCTCTCAACGTGCAAAACAGCAAACCAGCATAATAGCATAAACCAGCATAATTACACATGCATCAACCTGTTTGCATGTATAAAGTCAAATTTAATGTAATCAACCAGCATTATTTCTTATGCTTCTTTACTGCCTTGCAGGTTTAACCTCTAGAGTCCTGAGCTTTGGAAACCCAAGCTGTGCGGTCCTCATATGAGGACGCAGGGACTCTAGAGGTTATTGAGGACCTGCAGGGATCCATTGGCTCATCCAACTATTCATCTGCTTTCACTCGAAATAAACTGGAAAGCACTAGGAAAATGCATCTTAAGAGCTGCTCTTAACAAATGAAATATCTGTTAAAAATCAACTTGTTTGCTGGAACCTTGCCAGCACTTGTGCTCTCACTGACCAGTTTTGGTGTTAATAGACTGTTGTTGGAGACAATTTCTCATTTATCTGCAAAGGGTCAATCTTGTGATCATATTGGGCACTTCAATATTTTTGGCCATGATTATAAGGAGCCAATGTGGAACAGCAATTTGGGAAAAAAGGTTTTAAGACTCCTAAGCCTCTTGACTCCTTCCATTATCCAAATAAGATGAACAAATACCTGTTTGAGACAGTGCACATTATAATGGCAAACTGCAAAGGAAAGACAGTAATTGCATTAGTAAAAATCTGCTTCATCTTCACCTTTGAACGCTGCTGCCTAACAGAGCTTGATGCCCTCATTTACTGTATCACAAGGCCTGGTTCAACTGTCTGCCTGCCCCATTTTTCATAATGCAATGCGTCAGGTGATGGGGTTCTAAACAGTATAAACAGATAATTACTCAGTAGTACAAATTTAAATTGTAAAAAAAAATTATAAAAATGCTACAGATAGAAATTCATGTTATCAATGACAAGACACCATGCGGCCTTTAAGATTAGTTTCCTTAAAACCTTCCTTTAATGAGGACCTGCAGGGATCCATTGGCTCATCCAACTATTCATCTGCTTTCACTCGAAATAAACTGGAAAGCACTAGGAAAATGCATCTTAAGAGCTGCTCTTAACAAATGAAATATCTGTTAAAAATCAACTTGTTTGCTGGAACCTTGCCAGCACTTGTGCTCTCACTGACCAGTTTTGGTGTTAATAGACTGTTGTTGGAGACAATTTCTCATTTATCTGCAAAGGGTCAATCTTGTGATCATATTGGGCACTTTTTTTCCCTTCCCCTCAGAGAGAAGACCCAAAAAGCCAAGGCAGAAACATTTCAATCCAAAGTGGTAGCTGTATTCTGAATCACTGAATCAAGCTGGTAAACACTTTTTTGCTTTCTGTGTGGTTACAGATTCAATCAGCTGAGGCACTTGTTGACAACACATACCAAATCAGGCCAAGTGTTGTAAAGTGAAAGCAGAATTCTCTCAGATAATAAAATTGCAGTTAAATGCCTGACAGAAGGAAGAAGACAAGCCATTCAAATTGTATTCTCTGCCAAATCCTCTTATATAACATAATACATTTACCCAGAGCTAGCACAAGCTTTTGGAGGTCCCAACTATTTGACTGCCACACATTTTACAACCCATTTACAGGGGCAACATTGCAATAGCTACCACTGTTGAGAGATGATGTCAATGTATGTTCTACATGGTTAGAAGTTAAAAAAGATCTTTCGCAACCACAATATCTCAGTCAACTTTAAGCCAGGGAACACCCTGCAGCAGAGACTGGTCCACCCGAAGGACAAAACACCCAGACATAAACAGA